AGGGTGTGGCCACTGGAGTTGTAATCCTACTAATAAGTAAAGGGAAGAGCTCACATCTCTTGGTGTTCAGTGAGGATCTTTTCTTTATTTATCTGCTTCCACCAATCATTTTCAATGCTGGGTAAGGACATAGTACTCCAGTATCAGGAACTTGCTTTCATATGTAATTTTTTTTATTATTAGTATCTTCCTTCCAATATCTCTATGTTACATCCAAATTTGTTATCTTACAATGTGGTGCTTTTTTCATCCTCATTAGACATACGACTAGCATCATATATCAAACAAGGTATACAGTTCACAGGGAAAATGCGTGGCATTGTCTTAGGACTTAACTATATTTCTTGTCAACTACTTTTCATAAACTGTGCACATTGAAAGGCTGAAGTATTTTACCCATGACCAGCTATACTTGGGGTGATATTCGTCCAGCAGTACACTTCAACAGTGTATTACTGGAGATAATTTAATGTTACATGGTTGTACCTGTAAATGATATTGGTAAAACATGAGGTTTTATTAAGTGATTGAATTTGAGATAATTTAGTGCTCCTATCTGTTGACATTAAGATTGCTGCCTTTTCTAGGAATTCTGTTGTAGTCTTATATTTGGGTGGCAATAAAATACGTTTTCTTTACTATGTTCTGTTTGCATTATAGACTAATCACTTTAAGATGATTTGATTTTCTTTGTCTTACAGCTGCCAAGGTTTGTATTTTGTTGGTTTTCATGGTTGTCCTTTCTATTTCGATCTGTAAATCAGGTTCCAGGTTAAAAAGAAACAGTTCTTTCGCAACTTCATGACTATAATATTGTTTGGAGCAGTTGGTACTTTGATATCCTTTGTCATCATATCATTAGGTATGACCATCTACCAGATTTCGTTTATTTTATCAATATATAACTGTTTTCTTGCCTCTTTTAACATTTTCAATCCATAGTGTTGATTATCCTGTATCCTCACTGCTTGTTCANTTTTCTCTCTGAAGTTTAACTGAAAGAGATCTTTTCCGAGCCAGTTCATGCATGTGCTTCTCACTCTCTTATAGTCGCCTTTTGTAGGCACAGATACTGCATTTTTTGTACTTGTTAACTCTCTCCATCAGAAGTAGAGTCTACCTTAATACAAGCATAGATGCTTATTTTCTCAAATTTGGTTGAGCTTTTGACACATGTACCGTCTTTTTAAACTGGGAGCGAACTTTATACAAAGAGGAAGACCATGCAGAAAGATGTTGCTTGGATATATCTCGTCCCAGTTGTTCTTGTTTTACATTCTTGGTTACTTCCAGACTGAATCATGTTGTTATTAGCTAATTCAATTTCTTTGTGTGGAAAATTCTTTCTTTTCTTTCATTATGTCCTAGAGTTCTAAATTTACTTCTTACTCTTTTTCTGTTTGCAAACACTGTAGTTGCACGTCTATTAGGGAATTTATTTGAAAAGGAAACTGCTGAAGGAGATAAAAGAAGCATAAGAAAAGTATACGATGAAATTTGGATTCCCTTTCTAAAGATTTACTTGTCATTTGCTTTTTATGTGGTATCGGAATGGCTTTGCTATTATCCTCAACGATTTTTATTTTGTCACAGGTGCTATTGCCTTCTTCCAGAAAATGGATATTAGTCTTGCAATTGGAGATTATCTTGGTAACCTACCCTTCTCTGTATCTTTGTCACACACACACACACACACAAACACAGAAATTAACATGCTTTAGCATAACGTCTCTTTTCTCTGTTTGTTATGTATTTATATGTTCATTTTTATATATTGTTCCTTTGTAGCAATTGGAGCAATTTTCGCTGCAACAGACTCAGTTTGCACATTGCAGGTACAACTTAGAGTTAACGGCGTGCAAGTTTATGCCTAAACTATTTCATCTGTAACACAATGCAATTTTGCAGGTTCTCAGTCAGGATGAGACGCCACTGCTCTACAGTTTAGTTTTCGGAGAAGGGGTTGTAAATGATGCAACATCTGTTGTTATTTTCAATGCAGTTCAGAACTTTGACCTCTCTCATATCAATACTGCTGTGGCTTTCAGCCTCATTGGAAACTTTTTTTATTTATTTATCTCGAGCACTGCGTTGGGAGTTGCAGTGAGTACTTGTTCCAGTCAATGTATATCTGCGAGCTTCTGAGTTATATTTATTTTCCAATATTGAATATATATCTTTCCTTCAGACTGGTTTGCTTAGTGCATACGTCATAAAGAAGCTCTATTTTGGAAGGTTGGTGACAATATCCTTGATAACTGTCTCTTACATGCATAGATTACCATTTTTTTTTTTTTTTGGTGTGTGTGTTTGTGTTTCGCTAAATGTTGAAATGTTGTAAAATATTTCTAAGTCATAGTACTCTTAACACACTGTAATGTAAAACCTAACAAGTTATTTTCCTAGTATCTTTTGCTGGGTTGATTGACAATACAAACATGTGAGATCTGTAAGATAATATCCAATGTATGATCCTCGGATGAAAAATTTCTGGTACTTACAATTGCTCTTGGATTGGTAACAGGCATTCTACTGATCGTGAGGTCGCCATCATGATGCTCCTGGCTTACTTATCGTACATGTTGGCTGAAGTAAGTTTTAAAGGCAGTCTAGGAGTTTTTTTGAACTTTTTCTGTTTTGCATATTTTGTGGTAGATCCTTAAGTAGGAGTTATTTTTTATAATTCGAGCTGTATCATGCAGTTATTCTACTTGAGTGGCATCCTTACTGTATTCTTCTGTGGAATTGTGATGTCGCACTATACCTGGCATAATGTCACCGAGAACTCAAGAGTCACCACCAAGTACGATTTTAAGATTGATATGCCCATAAATACTAGTTTTTCTCGTTTTAATTTCTTCATAATGATATTTAATCATCATACAGGCACACGTTTGCTACATTGTCATTTGTTGCCGAGACATTCATATTCCTTTACGTCGGCATGGATGCTCTGGATATTGACAAGTGGAGGGTTGTTAGTAGCAGGTATATGATGGTGGTTGGTATCAGTGTATAACTATTTGCGGTGTATAACTTTTATTATGCCGTTTTTTTTACTTGAGTACTATTATTTCCATTTTTCAGCCCGAAAAAGTCCATTGCTGTTAGTGCGACTCTGCTGGGGTTGACTATGGTTGGCCGAGCAGCCTTTGTATTCCCTTTGTCATTTCTGTCCAACTTGACCAAGAAGTCTCCAACTGAGAAGATTGGATTTAAGCAGCAAGTAAAGTCTCAAAGTTGTTTTAGTTGTTACTTTAAAGTTCAGATCATCCTCATCTGAATACTATATTCGTTTCTAATATGCAGATCACTATATGGTGGGCTGGGCTAATGCGGGGCGCTGTTTCTATGGCTCTTGCTTACAATCAGGTAAAACCTCAGCTATGACTTACTATATATGATAAATGAACTATCAATCGTGGTTAAGGACTTGTAAAGTACGTTTTTTATTTTGGAAAAATCTGACTTATTACTTTTGTTTCGTGCAGTTTACTAATGCAGGCCATACCCAGGACCGTGGAAATGCCATAATGATTACAAGCACAATAACAGTTGTCCTCTTCAGCACTGTGGTAAGATGATTAATAATGGTTTGTGCTTTAGACTAGTTGTAGACTACAGTAGCTCGCCTGTGGATTAGTTCTCCAATAAAAAAATAATTCGGAAAGAACTAAATAAAAAAAAAAAAAAAANTTTTTTTGTGATGGAAGGTCCATTTTCCAAATTGAAGGGGGTTCAGTTGGGCATATTAAGGGCGTGTCTGTGTACAAATAGTCAAATATATCCTCTCAAGTTTTTTTGGTTAACCACAATTAATTTTGAAAAAAAAAAGTGGTACGGTTAGTTGTTAGTGAGATTTTGATTTTTTATTAAAATAATATTTGAAATAAAATAATTAACATTGATTGTAACGGTAGTTGGTTAAAATTATGTGAGTGGATGAATAGTAAATTAAAGTTGATGTGATGTGTAAGAATAATTGGTTAATATTATTTAATTATATTGATAATATTGAGGATAGTGGGGTTGAGTTAAAGTTGAGTTAAATTTTGAGTACGAATTGAGTAATTATTGAGATATTTCATATACAAATTGTGTTATTGGCTCCTAAATATTCTGATACTGGTTTCAGAGCACTTCCCGGTAGTAATTGATGGAGGACCGACAAAAATAAGAAAGTTAGAGGTTTATTATGAAAACATTTCTTTTTCCATAAACACTTGTAGTATGGTATCATCTTTCATTTTNCATTCTCCCGTGAAGTTGCCCCTTTAACTCAACTTCGATTTCATTTTTACACCTTAAACACTCTTTAAGGACCGTTATCATCTCGATAAAAGTCAAGATGCAATTGACCCCACTGTCTTGCATTGCAGGTGTTTGGGCTGTTGACGAAACCCCTGATAAGGTTCCTAATGCCTTCCCACAAACAGCTGAGCCGGACAATATCCTCCGAGCAGCCCCTCACCCCAAACTCCTTCACTGTCCCACTCCTTGGTGAGGGTCAGGACTCAGTCTCCGAGCTGTTCAGCGGAAATGGGATGATGAGCTCCGAGGGTCGAACTGTGGCCCGCCCCAGCAGCCTGCGCATGCTGCTCACAAAGCCCACCCACACTGTCCACTACTACTGGAGGAAATTTGACGATGCTTTCATGCGACCCGTTTTTGGCGGGCGTGGGTTTGTGCCTTACGTGCCGGGCTCACCCACTGAGCACAGCGTTCACCAGCAGCAGCAGCAGCAGCAGTGGCAAGGAGAAACCAAGCACTGAGTGAGGACGACTGTTTCGGAACTCAGGTTTTCTATTTTTGTACAACTAGTTTTCGTTTTGTTTGATCGGTTGGTTTTTTTGTGTTTTTTGATTGTCGCGCGCGGGGAATAGTGGGATTTTGTCTTTGTAATTTTATTTCCTTGGATATCCGAAGATTTTTTCTGTATAAGGTTTTATCAACTGTTCATACTGTGATGTATAGTTGTGTAATTAATTATCTGGCTTGTGCATTGACATTTATCTAGAGTATCTATTGGGAGTTTTATGCGGTTGTGTTGTGTATCGTCTCTTGGGCTTGTATTACAACAAAGGATTGTACATTGGAGTGTTTTTTTTGNAAAAAGTTGTAAGTCGAGTTTCTAGATTTCCAACGGTGCGTAGCTACTAGGGCTAATCATGGGACTTAGAGAATTCCGAATCGTCTCGAAAACTGAATTGAAATCACGAAATATCTGTTGACCGTTTGACTTTCTCCGAATCGAACCGAATCAAAAAAATAATTGGTATGGTTTTGGAGATTTCATAAATATTTGTATCGAGAATCGAACCGAACTGTCATGTACCGAACCGAAGAATCAAAATTAAGAACCGAATTATAAAAATAGATGCGTGTTATTAATATATTTTATGTCAACTTTGATCCTATATAATTTGAGAATTTTTAAAATGCAAATAAAATATAGTAATAACAATTAAGATTCACTTACATTTCATGTTTAGTAATACTTGATCTACAATCGAATTTCTCTTGTTTAAAAAAAAAATGGAATGAAAGGGTAAAGATTTAAAAAAAAATATTTAAGTTTTACTTAAAGTTGTCGATATTTAGCCTTATAGTTTATCTTATAACTAACATGGTATGGAAGGTTAAATAAATATTACTTTAATATAAAACTGTATTATATTTTGTTTGTATTTTTTCAATGTTAGTTGAATTTACTCTTAACTAAAATTTAGGGTTACTTCTAAAGTTGATTTAAAAAAAAAATCTTTAGTATGATGAAGTATTGATGAATGTTGGATTTTCTTAAAAAAAAAAACATATGAAAAATAAAATATAACTAGGTGGTCTTTCAAAAAAAACTAAAAAATGATAAGAAACCTACGAATATCTGAACCGATTCAAACCGAACCGTTCCGATAGTCCCGAAAAATAAAAATCTTCGAATCGGACTGAACCGATTTTTGGGTGCGGTTTTGGAGATCGAATTTTAGTGATCTCCGAACTTCGGTACGGTCTGGAGATTTATCAATCTCCGAACCGTACAGACTCATGCTCACCCCTAGTAGCTACGGGACGAATCTTTCAATCGATGTTTTTCGGCGACTCGGTTGTCAAATTTGATGCGTGAGCTATCATTTTGTTCTCCTTTTCATGAGCAACAATAAATCTTAATCAATTCGATGTTTTGAACTCGTATGAGCCTTCAATTCAAAATGATGTTTTCTGCAAGATTTTAATATTTTTTTTTTTCCTAATTTTATGCCATTTTTCTGGTAGATATAAGAATTGATTGAGTGAAAATTTTAGTGCAACAAATGAAATAAGATAAAGTTGGGGTACAATATAAATTTTTCTCCCTTAGTTTTAAGTAAAGGTAATTTAGTAGTAGTTTAATTAATGAGTTTATTGAAAAATATTTTTAAGAAATTAAAAGGACACGTGGCATAATTTCAGTTAGTGCATATTGCCAGTAGAATGACCTAAGAAACATTGGTTGTCTACTGTCATGTACCTTGTATTAAATCTTAGAGAACATTATATTTGTCAAGTATAAAATTTTAGCAAAAAGTATTACAAAATGCTTTTTACAGTAATGCTTTGTATTTTAACATTAATTGTTTAAGTATAGAAAAACATATAACAACAATTTTACTCCTCATATAATATATTTTTATATTAATTTACCCTCCACCGAATTTCCCACAAATCCTTGTCCTGTTAGAGAACTCCATCGATGGCGTCACTGATATCTCTGTTCCGACTTCCGGTTCTCTCTCCAATTTTGGAATACTCTTTGAACCTAGACCTCTCTCCACCACTGATCTCTCTCTTGTCGGGTGCCAGTTCACTCTCCAAGTTTGGAATACTCTTTATACCTATGACCTCAATCCACGACAGGACTTAGGTTCGCGTGAACTTTTGTGAAATTAAAGGGTTGGGAGAGTAAAGGGTGAGGCTAACATATATATGTATAGTGATTCGCAAATTACCTCCGAATCGGGTTAAATCGACACCACCACGAACGACCATTTGCCTGGAGCTCTAATGACTTGCAAATATGCCAGGGAGGGGTCTCGGCGAAAGTACCTTTGACGCTCAAGTCAGTATTCACTAGTGTGAATATCAAAAACTTGTATGCAAAAGGCGTAATAATGTGTTATATAAAAATAGAACCTGGTCACTCATTACATACCGTAGGTGTTTTGCTGCTCAAATAGAGTCCTTGCTAAGAAAGAGATTCTGCTGTATCTTTTTTCCTAGCTTAATAGGTGTTTGAAATCTTAGACTCCTTAGCGTGATACACTTGTCATCCTTAGTTGGATTATGTCCCCTCTTACCATACGACTCTTAGGTCCCTGGATCGTCCTAGGGAGCTCGCGACCCAACCACCATGGGCGCATACAAGGTCGAAAGCTCGACCTTTACTTATACGACCTTCGGGACCTAACGTCCCATCACCTATCCAAGCTCCTCCGCCCAAGTCTCCCGGAGCAGCAACGATGACCAATGATGGAGATGTAAGCACCGATGGCTCGACCGAGTTCATCCAATCGGGACTCAGACAAGTTAGACCAAATTCTCTAATTTCTGACCAACAATCAGCAACACAACATGAATAATATGGCTTCTATCAAATGCATCAAGACACAAATGGGCCAGTTAGCTACTCAAGTTGGTAACATGACCAACTTGGACAAGGAAAATTACCTAGCCAAGCTAAGACGAGTACGATATTTAAAATTGATAAGGTTCTTGACAATCATGTGGAGATGTCTGACCTTCGCGGACAACAGACAATGGATAGTCTGGAGGAAGAGAGAGTGGCTACGAAACAAAACAAAAAACATGAAGAGGGTTCGAGAAAACCATCAGAAGTCCAACCTTGCACAAATCTCCTAACCCATAAAAGCAACAAATTCCTTTCCCAAGACTATTTCGATATGAAAAACAGAAAAATCAATTTTGAAATCTCTATACTATGTTGTCTAAGTTCAATGTAAATTTAGTGCTTCTCGACGTAATTAGAAACATGTCTTCCTACACGTGTAATTGTTACACAGACTTGGTCATGAAGAAGATAAGATTTGATGATGAAGAGAAAATGGTTGTGTACGAGGCAACAATTACAATGCAACTTGACTTGCTTTGGAAAGAATGAGATCCTGTGGGTTTTGTGATAAAAATAACCCTCGGGAATGCTTGACCTTGTAGTCGACATCAATGTGATGCCATTCTTGATTCTTCCAACGACTTGGTCTCGGGACCTGAGACCATTCGACCCAGTATCCAAAGAGGGCCGGAGAAGATATTCATGTGAGAGTAGACAAGCTGATAGTTCTAGTGGACTTTGCAGTACTTGACGTGGGGGACATTTGGGAGAACGATAAGGACCACAAAATACTTTTCGGATGATGTTTTATGGCAATGACAAACACACTGATTGACGTCAATAATGAGACGTTAAATATGGTCGTGTTGAGAGAATCTATCTTTAATTTAGCCAGAGAAACCAAATTTGTATCCTTGGTGAATTTTCCTGAAGAGTGCATATGTGGACACCGCATGTTGACGAGATAGTCGTACGGGATTATGAGAAGCGGTTGATGTTCAATCATGAGGACAAACGGGGACCGACTGTCAAATTATTGGAGATCGAAGAGTTTCGGCCTCAAGCACCCTACACTCGAGCTTAAGAAGCTACCTCGACATCTGAAGTATGTGTTCCTCAATGACTAGGAACAGAATCCAATCATCATCTCCGCCGAACTCTCCCATGATGAAGAATAAGAATTAATGGTTGTGCTCAAGAAAAATCAGAAGTCAATCGACTAGAATCTTGGGGATATTATGTGTATAATATCTTATAAGTGCATGCATAGGATCATCCTAGAGGAGGGTACCAAACCATTTCGGGATAGTCAATGTTGGCTTAACTAGAACATGATGTAGACTGTGAAGAAAGAGGTTCTAAAGCTCTACTCCGAGGGCATCCTTTATTCAGTGGTGAATAGCGAGTGGGTCAGTCTCATTCTCGTGGTGCCCAAGAAAAGCGGCATCACCGTCACCGAAGACGACAATAAAGAGTTAGTACATACTCGAATAACCACCAGGTGGCGCATGACTGAATGATGTGACGAAAAAAGACCATTTTCTAATGCTAATCATTAATCTAGTCCTTGACCAATTGGCTGGCAACCAGTTTTATTGTTTTCTCTATGAAATATTCTGTTTCTACCAAGTGGTCATAGCAACCGAGGATCAACTGATCACGACATTCATATGCCCATTTGGCACATTTGCTTTTAGACGATGTTTTTTGGCTTGTGAAATGCCCTGAGTGTTAGTGTTATATACTGAAAGCTTGGCTTTGCATGTTATTACACATTTACCCTTTATGAATGAGAATCATGTTAGATTTGTGCATATAATAATTATGAGTGGGTCCCACTGATTGGTGTATTATTTTGAATGACAAAATTATCCTTAATAAGTGGTGAAATGCACATATTTGACCATAATAGTCCAAAATAATTACTAGTTTGCCATTACAGATTACCATTATTTATGAAAATTTGACTTTATCATGTCCATTGATTTGATGGATCCAATGGTGTAGATTCATTCTTATTTCTTTCACTATCTACCATTCTCACATGATCTCATCTATATTTATATCTATATCTATATATATACATACATATATATATGTATGTATATATATAGATATAGATATATGTATGTATATATATAGATATAGATATAAATATAGACATAGACGTTGACATAGGTATATATATAGATGTATATATAATTCAAAATATCAAGGGTATGTGTTTCCTATAGTAATCACGATCCTTTAAAATAATATAAATTTTGCTTCCTATATAAAAGGATGTACCAAAATTTTAATTCCAATATTAGCCAGGATATTTATCGAAAAAAGGATGATCACAATAAATATGTAACATATATTGATTTCTATCTCAATTATTTTTTTTTTCTCAAAAAATTACTGACGTTGATGATTCCAATACATAGTTGAAAATATTGGTTCAGCCTGAAAAATAAAATAGTAGGATGCAATTAAACAATTTCCATTAAATTTTGTATTTTCTCCACTAAGAAGTGGAGCCATTAAATATAAACAACCTCAGGTTATGTGTTTACCTTGGGAAGTGGAGCCATTTCATTGAGGAGTGCTAAGCAGAAATGCGTGGCAGACTCCACCATGGAAGCCGAGTACATAGCAGCTTCAGAGGCAGCGAAAGAGGCAGTTTGGCTCAGGAACTTCTTAGTGGACAAAATACAAAATTTAATGGAAATTGTTTAATTGCATCCTACTATTTTATTTTTCAGGCTGAACCAATATTTTCAACTATGTATTGGAATCATCAACGTCAGTAATTTTTTGAGAAAAAAAAAACAATTGACATAGAAATCAATATATGTTACATATTTATTGTGATCGTCCTTTTTTCGATAAATATCCTGGCTAATATTGGAATTAAAATTTTGGTACATCCTTTTATATAAGAAGCAAAATTTATATTATTTTAAAGGATCGTGATTACTATAGGAAACACATACCCTTGATATTTTGAATTATATATACATATATATCTATACCTATGTCAACGTCTATGTCTATATTTATATCTATATCTATATATATACATATATATATATATATGTATGTATATATATATAGATATAGATATAAATATAGATGAGATCATGTGAGAATGGTAGATAGTGAAAGAAATAAGAATGAATCTACACCATTGGATCCATCAAATCAATGGACATGATAAAGTCAAATTTTCATAAATAATGGTCAATCTGTAATGGCAAACTAGTAATTATTTGGACTATTATGGTCAAATATGTGCATTTCACCACTTATTAAGGATAATTTTGTCATTCAAAATAATACACCAATCAGTGGGACCCACTCATAATTATTATATGCACAAATCACCGTCACCCACCCACCCACCCACATTCTCGTCTCTCACACACACACTTCACCAAAATCATGCACTAAACACACACCTTTCACTCAGAGAGCTGCAGCCTCCGGATCCACGGCCAACGCCGCCTGCCGGAGTCGACAGCAGATACCGGACGTCGCCGCCAGACGCCGCAATCGCCTCCATCGGCGACGGCTCCGGTTATTGCAGTTCCGGGATTCCAGCCACGCCGCCTCTGAACTAGCAGCCACCGGATCGACGGCCAACGCCGCCCGCCGGACTCGACAGAAGATACCAGACGTCGCCGCCAGATGCCTCAATGGCCTCCATCGGCGACGGCGCCCGATATTGCAGTTTCGAGGTTCCAGCCACGCCGCCTCTGAACTCGCCTCCGTCGGCAACAGTTTCAGGTTTCAGGCCGCCGCCGCCGACGGGCTCAATTCGGTGGTCAATGGAGTACGAGAACGTCGCCGGTGGTTTCAGGTTCGGTCAATATTCGCCCATTGCAGCACCATACATCCGTCGCCGAGTTTGGGTCGATGTTGCAGGGCCATGTCCTTCTCGGCGTATTATGGCCAGTCGGCGGTGGAGCTCAGGCGGCGGACGGCTGCTGACGAAGGGTTTGTGGTGGCAGATGGCTGTTGTCCGTCTGGTTATTTTTTAAAGAGATGGGCATGTATATGAGAATTTGACATCTTCAAGGGACTCAATTGAAATTTATGAAATCTTATTAGTCAATGGGTCAAATTTATAATATATAAAAAATATAGTAAATGCACAATGATAGAGAATTTTAACAGTAATGCGTAATACATGCACATTGTAACTTGGATTTAAAAATTAAAAATCATATAATTAAACTGAAATATAAAATTTCAAATTGAAAATTTTAATTCGGTCAATTTGTTTATTTAAAAAATAAAGTCGGTATCAATCCGAAATAACCATAATTTTTAAAGTAAAAATAAACACTTGAATCAAATTATATAATTTGAACTAACAAAATTAGTTAATTCGATTTTCGATTTAGATTGCAACCTGACAGTCACTAATGTGCAGCGCGTTTAACACTAATGTGCACTAGAATTTTAATTATTCTTTAATGATTTATCTCAAACTAAAATAAATTATTTGAGCAGTTAACCGAATTAATTAATCTAAATAGTCAAAATAATTTATATTATCAAATATATTTAGTATTTTAATATTTTCATTTATTTTTTTATTATTTTTCAAATGCATAGACCTAAAATACATATGTAACAAAACAATGTTTGTTTATATAGTTCATTCGATTTTGATTGCTATATTGCAATTTGACAATCAATAATGTGCATCGTGTCTAACACAAATGTGCATTCAAAGTACAAATATTTTTAAATGAAATGTCACAAGTCAAGTTAAAATCAAAATAATTTGTTTATTTGATCAGTTAACTTAAATAATATAAATAAACAAGTTAATTTATAATTTATAATATAAAAATATATGTATTATTTTTAACATTTTTATTTGATATTTTACATTATTTTTTATTGTAAAGACCTGAAATTTATACATAACAAAATAGTATTTGTTTATATAGTTCACTCGCTATAGTGCAATATGACAATCATTAATGTGCAATTTGTTCGTCATTAATGTGCACTCAAAGTGCAATTATTTTCTATGACAATATATTTTATTTTTACAATTTTTTAGTTAATACTTTATATTATTCTTTGTTAAAAATAATTAATATATAACAAAAACAATATAAAAAATAAAGTCGAATAATCGAACCGACATATAAAAAGCTATAGTCGAAATTTTAGTGCAATCTCACAGGCACAAAAGTGCAACGTGTAAATCATTAATGTGCAATTTGTCAAACGCTATTATGCACGGTTTCCCGCCGCTATTGTGCAGTGTGAACAATCTCCCAACCTAATTGAAACCTAAAAATAATGTGCACTTCAATTTAGAAAAAAAAAACTTTAATAATATTTATTTCAATTAACATTATGTGTGTTTATCAAATTATTTATATAATAAAAACATATTTAGTGTTTATATTTTTTTATTTAATATTTTATGTAGTTTTTTTTCAAAATAAATAATACATATATAGAATTATAATATATAAATAATATTAAATATTATATTTTAAATTAAATGTATTAGCCCATATTTAAGTATTTGGAATCATCAATCACCAACTAACCAACTCATTACATCAATTAAATAGTAATATTTAATACATAATGTAGTTAAAATTTTTCATATTGCAATCAAGTCCATTTAAATGTCTAATTTACAAAATAATGCCCCAACTATGCACCTTCCCAGATCTGCAATTTAGGGTCGATTAATGTGTTTTTCGACGCTGGTGCCATCCATGTCGACGGAAGACGACAGCTGATGACGGCGGAAGTCGAATCGCCGGCTCAATATGTGGCTATATTTTAGTTATGTCGATTCAGTTATGCCGGGGAAGATGACGGTGTTATAAGTGTGGTATGTGAATATCAAAAATGGCTTAAGAAATCAAAAATGACAAAACGAACAAAGTCGAGGCACGTAAAGTACGCTCTCCTTAAGACGAAATAGCCCCGTATATTACCCACGGTTCACGGCTAACGCCTCCAAGATACAACAACTTTGATTTGTGTATAGCGGTAACTTAAATACACAAACCTTCGGCGAACAATACTCAAGTTTCGGAACTCTCAAGATAAGAAAGAACACGAAGAACACAAGATGAATATGAACTTTGTAAAAAGGATGCAAAGACTCTTGGAAAAATTCATGTTTTCAATTATTTCGTGTTTGTGGGTATTTATAGATGTAGGGAAACACCTCCAAGAGGTTTAAGTGTCAAAAGACACCTTTTGGGATGTGCCCGTACGAGAACGTATGCATCTAGTGGCCAAAAGATACCTTATGGTCACCAAGGGTTGCAACTCTTTGATTTCCGCAGCCAATTGCGCGCCCGTGCTCCACGGGCTCGTACGAGCTCATACGGACTCGGAATCGAGTTCCGTTTTTTCCTACTTGTTCCCAACGAGCCCTTCTACAATTATAGCATACATAATGCATAATTATGGCTCGTTTAGTTCTTTCAAGCATTTGTCAAAACAGAATATTTGTGAACCCTACAACCTTTGAGTTATTTAAACTCAATTAATTAACATATAACACTTAGATTTAATTTCTCATTCACCTTAAAAAGGTTTTGAAAATTTCCTAAGTCTTCTACTTACGAAAAGTAGAATCGTTAAATTGGTACAAAACCAATTTTTTTCTTACAATCCCCCACATGAATGAAATTAATGCATGTATGCAATACTTGAGAGTTCCGGCGAACCGTCATTGCATCAGGATAGATAGCTTGTGGCTTTGAATCTTCCTTAGTGAAATACTATCGGACACACTAGCCGGTTAGTAGCGCGATGCTTTGAACTTACCTGCTGTTTGTGTGCACCAAGATAATAGTACTCACACAACAACAGCTCTAACAATTTCTTGTTCTCACGTTGTGTCCATTTCGGCCTTGGACCATATCTCGGTTTAGTAAGTGTTCGTTGAAGCGGCCTATTTACTTCTCACTTACAAAGGTGATTCTCCTACAAAAAGAGTATCCTGCCTTACTCCACCCGTAAGTATAGGACTCATTAAAAGTCCTTGACTTAGCCTCACCACTTAGGCAGATTTTAACACTTGACGGTTCTAGAAATGAGCAAAAATTTTCAAGTGTTTCACTGAACTGTCAAAACTTAGTTTTCCCATTGAACCAAGGTTTCGGGATCTCCGATTCTCATGGTTGGGTTACCGCTAAGACCGTTCGTTTGTTGTGGATTTTTATTAAGCTCATTCCCCTAACCAGTTTGTACAATTTATCTTGTTTCTTGTATTATATAAACGGATCCGTTAGGTTTATCTTTGACTTCCCATAGTCAACCGATATAACCCTCACACGAGATAATTTGCTTAATGAAATTAAGTCTCTGACGTTTATGTCTAGACTTACTATTGTACAAACTACTTTGTGCTCTTCAAATTGTTGATTGATAAATAACCATCTCGATGAGCACAATTTATTCCACCTGGGAATATCTTTTAGAAAATTTCTAAGTTATTAGCTTCTTCCACGCCTTTAGTCAAAATTTATGAACTCGAACATCATTGTGGATCTAGCTTTATACTTAGATAATTTTCATGACACAACTCTCCCCACCTAAAGTGAACACTTAGTCACTTTTTGTCTTAGAGTTTTTCATGTCTAACACTCTATTTAGCGTGATCAAAATTCATCGCTCGAGTTACTTGTGAATATCTTAGTTTGCTTGCAAAAATGCAACATTGGGATGAGTACTATCCGACAAGTACCTCAAGCCTCCAATTATTCAACATACTTTTTCCGAGAAACTAATTATTCTCGAATTATTAGCTAAGTGTAGAGTCAATTATACATTCACTTTAGCTGGAGGTAGTATCGAACACATCGATCCTCTTCAACATACATTTGACATGATGAGATTGTGTCAAACAATTATTTCCGATCTATTAGAAACTTATTCTCCAAAATTACATCGGAATTTCACAAACTTTAAATGTCAAAGTTTATCTTCTTGGTATTCATGAACACATCATGATTAAATTCCAAGATCATCGATCATAAAGAGTCGGAAGAACCTTCATAGACCCATATTGTCATTCAATGAATTTGAACCATTCGACAAATTGTTTCAACAAACTTTTCATGTCATTAATTAGGTAGTTCTACCTTGGCTCAAACACCCCCACATTTCAAGGTATAAGTACGAATGCTTTTGCTCTTTTTATAACTCAAACGGAGTTTCGTATCTACCTTCGTGTGATGCTTTCTATGCCCAAACACCCCCACATTTTAAGGTATATGTACGAATGCTTTTTCTCTTTTTATAACTCAAATAGAGTTTCGTATCTACCTTCGTGTGGTGTTTGCAATTTTGTCGAAATAACTACTTCTCACATAAGCATTTAGCTTAAATTCAAGCTTACCAATAAGAATTATCACCTACTAAAGAGTGAATATTTCTTTCTACTATTTCGTTGAATATCAACATCATTCATATGTGACTTAAAGCTACAAAAGCTTTATGACAATACATTGTGCTTTCTTAATTTCGACTCGAGTTTGCACAAACTCTTAAATCACATTTACTGGTGTGACTTATCTCAAGAAGACTAGTCAATTAAGCAACCATTTCATACGATGCTTTTGTCACCTTTTCATTTTAACACAATTTTCATATTTATTGTATGAATGAATTCTAGATTCACCAACTTCTAGTGTTAAAATTCAAAAGTTCCAATGTATCATGCCATAAATTAGAACACTCAATAAATAAAACCAACTTATTTATCTTTTCGTTAAACAATAGTTTACAATAATTGTAAGATGACCTTTATTAAGGCTACTTATGCTAAGAACACATCATATTTCGACATAACATATTTGTCGATAATCACAAACTAATCTAAGTTTGACCTTACTCAATTAATGGTCCGAAAACTAGATTCTTATGGATGTCTTGGGCATGAAGACCATCCATGATCTCCAATATTAATTCTTAGCACACTACCTTGTCATTTCCTTTAACACTTGAAGTCGAGGAATTCCACAAATACTTACTTTCGCAGTAGGGTTGTAGGACAAAATTTATAAGCGCATATGGGTCAAGTGGCACTTGCTCTTATCCGCTATAAACGTGGAATTTTAATCAAGTATGT